CAAACTGAAAATGAACAAGACTGGCATCTTGATAACCCTTATGTAGATGACAGGAAACTCAATCAATTCCACCTCAGCTGTCCCCGTAGAATACCGAGGCTGAAATGGCAGGACAGAATCCCCGAGAGGGAAGTTCTGGAACGGACCTGAATCCTCAGCATCTACGTCATGCTGAAGCAACTGCCACTGCAATGGGGGCGGCCATCCGGTGAGAATGAACAACGCTCGCCTACCAAAACAACTCTTTTACGGAGATGTCGCTACGGGGAGATGACGCCGACAGGGAGGATAAAAACGACGCTACAAACGGTGGATGTTCAAGGCTTATTGAGCAACGGACCCCCAAAGAGTGGTTATCCATTTTTGGCAAAAGTCAGCATGTGGACTGCAAGCTCGAACCACCGGGCGACGGTTCTGAGCAGTAAATAATCCGTTAGGTGACTGATTTCACACCTCGACAGAAATTCTCCCTTTAAGTGCATTGCGGTTAGCACCGAGTCAAACCTGATAGGTGAACCTATTAAGTAGTTGAACTTGAAATATAAAAGTGTATAACTATTTTTGTACAATTAGACTGTGGGCGAACTGTGTATTTACTGAAGTTTTGCAACCAAATTCTCCTTTCAAATAAGCGCCATCAGAATCAGTCCTCCATCTAATAGATCTGACCATCATAGACGAATAACAGCCGTTTAGGAAACTGTCACAATTTTTTGACAAATTTGCCCAAAAGCAGGTTAAAAATGCTACACACTTGGACTTCAGGTTTTGACTCTTCACAAACTGTAAGATGTGGCTTTACTAACACGCTTGTGAACAGTAGATAAAGAGCAACACTTCCGAACAGCCGAACGCAAACTACCGCTCCTCTCAAGTCTTCTCTACAAAAAATATTGAATTCTTCTAGGTTTGACTTCAGTTTACCGGTAGACTGATTGACGTACGAGGAGGTATGTTTTTTCCAATAGAACGCAGACAATTTAAAATACACATATTTTATCGTAGTCTTATAAATGATAGTTCATCTGTACCTACGCTCTTAGGGAGTATTGATTTTTTCAGCATTCCAAGCCTCAACTGAAAACGTATGCTGCTATCTAAAAAGCTTTGATATCATCCCGGTAATCAATGCGGACCTTATTCCGGCGATCGTCTGCCTTTAATGTAGGAAGAAATGCGATACCGCAAATCACTCTACTCTCCACACTCTTAGGGAGTATTGATTTTTTCAGCCCCTGAACCTTGTTGTCGCCGGAAACTCAACTGAAAACGAATGTCGCTATCTAAATCCTTCAATATCATCCCGCTAATCAGTGTGGACTTCATTCGGGTGAAAGCTTCCCTTCGATGCAGGAAGAATAGTGATAATGCAAATTAAAGGTGTGGACAGTACTAAAGGTTAGCAGCCAAGCAGAACTTCGCTACTTGCCCTCGAAGTACTCGATAGGGAAGTCCTTCAACTTCTTCAGATGCTTCAGAAGCCTACTCTTTGTCGCCATGAAAAAATCCACTTAAGTTTGTCGTCCAGTTTTCCGAAACACCGACTGTTCTAGAAATACATCAAATTTTTTCGTGACTGGGGTGGAAGTAATGTCTGTCGACTCTTTTACTAGCACTCCTCAAAACTGTCCTTCCTCACTTCTGTCAGACGAAGGTTAATTAGAGTCCTCAGAATGTTATGCATGCTTGTCGAGGTGCAGTCGTCGACAACTGGAAGTTTCCAAATCAAGACTCAGGGACGACAGAGATAGTGTACAGCCTTTACTGGGACGAGTGGGCGCACGCGCGTCTCAGTGGGCGGTAGCAACAATGGTGCTTACCGGCCAATTGCCAGTCGCTCAAAGTTGCTGGTCCTGGCGCAGAGTGCATGCACCTGAGCTTTGTTCGACTGCCGCCAATCACAGAAGATAAAAAATATTAATCGGCATTAGAGCTTAAGCGGACTTAAGGCTGGTGTGACGGCTAATCAACGTCCGCCTAAACAGAATTCAGTAGAGGCAGGCTTGGAAAATGCCCAAAAGGGGAATAACAATAAGAAGCTGCGCACATGTGGGTGATATATCAAAATGGTTGCTAATTTCTCATGGCGTCACGTCGTTTAGTCGGAGGATGCCAGCCACTTGATCAACTGGACTCGGCGAAGGCTAAACGTCTCTGCACACAATGCGGCAACGCTTACAACCGTGGGAAGCGCACTTTTTAATATTTTCAATTTTTCCCTGGATGGTGAGTAGTTTCTGAGACGTTAAAATGAAGGGAAGTCATAGTAGAATAGGAAATGAGAACACATCCCTGACGGCTTCTTACAATGCTCAGCAGAACGAGCATTGTGGTCCATTTTCTTAGGACTTCATAGCGCATACACAGCAGCAGAATCCACCGCAAAGTCTACACAGCAGGCCAATCTCCTATAACGAGAACTCCCTACTATTAGCGTCGCCACCA